CATCCATCCATCCATCCATCCATCCAACCTTCTATCCATCCATCCATCCATCCATCCATCCATCCATCCATCCATCCATCCATCCATCCATCCATCCATCATGCGTGGTTCTGGACTCAGGTCTTGGGGCAGCAGGTTGGGCTTCTCCCAGTTGCACATGTCCAGAAAACCTCCCTTGGAAGGTGTCCAGGGTCCATCCATACCAGATCTCTGAACCACCTCAATGGGCTTCTTTCCATCCCCTTAAACTAAACTCTGAAATCTTTCTGATCCACCACCCAGAGGATTTTAAAAATATTTCACAAAAACCACAACAAACTGGTTTTAATGTAAGCTTTGAACAGTTAATTGTTACAAACTCTAAAACCCAAACTGAATGGTTTTCTAACAGTTCCTAACCTCGGTTTGTTTGGACTCTGGGTTTGCAGGAGTCAGATTCATGAAGGCATGTTTGAAACTGCTGAGGAAGATCAACCAGCTTTCCTCTTCATCAGTAAAGTCAACATGTCCTCTGTCACAGCCATGTCTTCCTCGTTGATCAGCGTTTAATGACACGAGGTGCAACGAGAACAGACTTCCTAAAATGTCTCTTTTCTTTCATCACTGATGGAATATAATGAGAATAAAGGTCAGAGAGTTAAGGTTCAAAGTTCGTTACTGTCATTCTCATCACATGTGGTACATGAGGTGGAAGGAAATTGTGTACACAGGGTCCCAGTTACACCCAAAAATAGAAAAATATAAAGTATAAAAAGAAACAATATACAAGGATCTGAGGTAAAATAATACCGTGTATTTAAGAGAACGTGATGGATGCTCCTCACCTCTTTAGGCATCTCTCTGGGGAAGAACATGTACGGCAGAGCAGTGAGGAAGAGGAAACAGGAAGCCACCAGGAAGCCGAGCCACCAGGCCCCGACCCAACGAAGGTCCTTCTGATCCAACTTGATCCTGCCTGAAAAAACGTACAAACAAATCAAGTGAGAGGGATTTTCCTTCAGAGTGTCTTCTTTGTTTTACTTTGTCAGCTGGGTTTCATCTGATGACAGCAAATTCTTTAATGTTATAAAAAACTTTAAAGGTCAGTAAAGTCTTGGAAAACAGAAACTGTATACACTGTTTGTTAAACCTTAAAGTGAAATCAAGAGGACATAGTCATGTTTGCTGAAACATTTCAGAGGACTAGCAGGTTTATCTGAGTTCACTCAACAATTCCACGACGTGCTGGAGCAGATCGGAGCTGCTCGTCAGGACACGACTCGTCCGACAGCTTCACCAACGTCTGTTCTCATCTTTAAATGGCGACATCTGAAACGGTGAGTCCTTCCTGTCAAACTTACAAACCTGTCATTGCACACACACAAACTCTGTGAGAAAATACCTCACAAAGCTTGCTCAAAGAACAATGTCAGAAGCAACAACACACCATGAAGAACATCCATCCATCCACTCGTTCCAGAGGGGGTTGCAGGGGCAGGTTGAGCAGGGAGGCCCAGATCCACAGCCTTCTCTTCGTAGGAACATAGACCGACCAATAAACAGAGAGCATTTCTTTACAGCTCAGCTCCCTTTTCACCACAACGGACCGGCACGGCGTCCATAATACTGCAGAAGCTGCACTGATCTGACTGTGGATCTCCCGCTTCACTGTGAACAAAACCCTGAGATACTTGAAATCCTCCACTTGAGGTAGAACCTCACCCTCGACCTGAAGAGAACAGTCCTCCCTTTTCCGATTGAGGACCATGACCTCAGATTTGGAGGTGCTGGTTCTCATCCCAGTTGCTTCACACTCGGCTGTGAACCGCTCCAGTGATAGCTGAAGTTCACAACATGATGAAGTCAACAAGACCACTCCATCTCCATCTTCTACTGCATTTTCATAGTTGGGTCACAGAGGCAACAGGTCCAGGAGAGAAACCCCTTTTTAAAAATGGGAACTGCCACCCCGGTCTGCCGTTCTGATCTACCACTCCGCAGGCGTTGTCCCAGTCCTCCATGCAACATTGAACAGACATGTCAACCACGACAGCCAGACAACATCCGCAGCTTTCAGTGTCGAAGTGAATTTTGTCCACTCTGACTCCCTGCCAATGGAGATCTTTTTGACTGCCTCGGTGAATTCAAGTCAAGTCAAGGCTCTTTATTGACATTCACACCCATCTCGGTAATGAACTCATCTTCCCCCAAGTCCTCAGGCTCTTCATCCAGGCAGTTCCCCACCCAAACCAAGCACAACCTGGGACAGGACACACTTTTATTTTTCTGTCACCAAATGGTTTGCCAGAAACTTCTTGAGGCCAAATGAATGTCCTTCTCCAAGGTCCACCCAAATTCCTGCCATGCCCAAATTCTTGCATCTGCAACCACTGAAGCTAGAGTACTTCTGGCCACTCAGTACCTGTCACCTGCTTCAAGAGTCTTCCGGAAGAGCCAAGTCCCAAAGGCCTCCTTCAACTTGATGGCCTCCATCACCGCTGATTTCAAATAAAGATCATTTGGTTGCCACCGCGACAGGTACCAATGACCTTCAGGGCACAGCTCCTGGAAGCCACATCTGCAATAGAGGACCTGAACATGGCCCATTTGGATTCCATGTTCCCAACTTCCCCCACGGACATGTGAAAACTCTCACAGGGGTGTAAATTGAAGATCGCATGGAATCAGACTCCATCAGATGTTCCCAGGTAACCTTCACTATACATTTGTGTTTACCAGGTTTGTCCAGCATCTTCCCCACCACCTGACACAACTTATCACCAGGTGGTGATCAGGTGACAGCTCTGTCCCTCACTTCAACTGAGTGTCCAAGACATAGGGTCACAGATCTGACAACACAATTACAAAATCGATCATTACCTTTGGCCTAAGATGGCCTGTCACCAAGAACACTTGTGGACTACCTATGCTTGAACATTGTGTTCATTATGGACAACCCATGCCAAACACAGAAGTCCAGATCAGGGAGGCCATTCCTACCAATCATACCCCTCCAGATTCATGATTGCCTACATGGGAATTAAAGTCACCCAATAGAACAAGGGAATCCCCAGATGGCACCTTTCCAGGACACCATCTAGAGACTCCAGAAAGGCTGGGTAATCTGAAGTGATGTTTGGTGCATAAGCACAAACAACAGTCAGAATCTTCCCTCCTGCAGCTCGAAGACGCAGGGAGGCAACCCTCTTGTTCACATGAGGAAACCAACACAGAGGCATTCAGACGGGGGCTTGTGAGTATCCCCACACCCACCCAACACCTCTCTCCCTGGGCAACTCCAGAGTAGAAAATAATCTAATCTCTCCCCAGGAGATGGGTTCCAGAGCCCAAGCTGTGAACAGAGGTGAACTCAACTACCGGTATATCTAGTTTGTATCGCTCAACTTCACACACAAGCTCAGACTTCTTAGCCACCAGTGAGGTAACATTCCATGTCCCTAAGGCTATTATATGCTTCAAGGAATCTGCATGGCCAGAGACCCTCCCTTGCCTGCTGCCCGGCTTACATGACACCCAACCTTGATGTTCCCCATGGTGAGCCTATGTGGAGGTGGCTTACTAGCTCTCTTTTGGGCAAGCCCCAAGAGCAAAGGCTCGACAACCAGGCACTAGCCTGTGTACACCCCCCCCCCCCCCCAACCCGCTAGGCTCAATAGGACTGAGCCTGACCATGCCCCTTGGATAAGAGGTCTGGTCACCAGGCCTGGCTCCAGAGTAGTGCCAGGATAACCCATATCCAGAGGAGGGAAATTGAGCTCCTTGTTGTCTTCTGTACATACAAATATCATGAATCACTGTTTGTCAGGCCTGGCCTCTAGGACCAATCTGCCTTGGGAGACCCTTCTAGTGGCGATTGCACCAACAGCTTAACTCCAAGGATCATTCAGGCCCACAAAGTCCTCCACCAAGATAAGGGTGTGATTTACAGTGGAGCAGTTACGACACAACCAAGTGTCGTAACTGCTCATAATAAAGACTCATGATGTTGAGACACTTTCTCTGATGAGGGAGTGTCAGTTACTGCACAAGTACCACAAACTCACTAAAGAATGCATCTCAGCATCATGAGTTACTTTCTCTGGAACAATAAAGCAATAAACTATTTTTTCTTTTGTATATCTGCCTTGTTTAAATTTAAAGACCACTGAGACTGTTGAGACTTTTGAAACTTTGCTCAAGACTCATCTGTTTTCCTTGACATTTGATCCAGGCCGAGTTTGAGAACAAGTTGGAGCTGATTTTTATTGTTGTTGTGTTTTATTGTTAACTTTGTTTTTTGAGTGACACAATATGTATTTTTTATTCTTTTTAATCTGCCTTAACTGTAAAGCACTTTGGTCAGCTTTTGCTTTATGTGCTATAGAAATAAATTGACATTGTGTTTCTGTGTCATATTACAACAACATTGCGACATTTGCGCTTTACGTATCTGATCATCTTAATATACACGGGGCGATCTCCAGCAGGGTGGCACAGATTTAATGATCAACATTAGGATACTGAAACAAACAAGAAAAATATGACAAACCCACAGAAGCAGTGAAAATTTTACTCCCCTGATGGGAATTTAAAATAAGTTTTACTCCAAGAGTGATCGTTTGGTTGGTGTGTAGATGTCTCTCTTTTAAGCTCCATGTGGAAAACTTTGTAAAGAACCTGAAAGTTAAACTGGTTTCTTTTTCAGAAACAGATCCTGTCTAACCCTGAATGTTAGGAAACACCTTGTATCTGTGACTTTCCTTCCCTCCATTGATTACGGTGACATTATTTACATGAACGCTCTTACAAGAACCCTGCAGATGTTGGATGCTGCAGATGTTGGATGCTGTCTATCATGGTGCACTAAGATTCATAACTGGCTGTAACTACCGTACCCACCACTGCACCCAGTATTTACTGGTTAACTGGTAACCATTAACTTCACACAGACTCTCCCACTGGTACATCTTCATCTTTAAATCACTTCCTGGTCTGCTGCCTTCATACATCTCCTCCTACATGTCTCTGTGTGAGTGCAGCTACAGCGTGCGCTCTCAGGACATCATTACCTGCAGTGTTCCCTCAGTGAGGACTGAACTAGACAAAAGGACCTTCTCCTACTCCGCTCCTGTTTCCTGGAATATCTTGTAAAAAGACCTGAAGCTCTCGACCTTTGACCTCTAAGTGGATTTAAACATCTGTTCAGTTCCTGAGAACAACCAACACAGACATGTTCCTGTTTTTAGTTTTCTCCAACACCTTACAATCTAGCTGTTTTTGTTACTTTTCTTTTCTTTTTACTTTTCTTTTTTTTAGCCATCCTATTTGTTTAAAAAAAAAAACAATAATTATAAGACTTTTTATAACTGTTTATTGTTGTTGCTGTTGTCCATTGTTGTCATCATTCTTTGTTAAATCAGGTCTCTCTTGTAAATGAGTCCTCGAGGCTCAATGGGATTTACCTGAATAAATAAAGGTTGAATGAATGTGGGGGGGGGGCAGCACGGTGGTGCAGCTGGTAGAGCTGCTGCCTCTCAGCGAGCAGGTCCCCGGTTCAAACCCCGGTCCAGGGCCCTTTCTGGGTGGAGTTTGCATGTTCTCTCCGTGCATGCGTGGGTTTTCTCCGGGTACTCCAGTTTCCTCCCACAGACCAAAAACATGCATGTTAGTCTGATTGGTAACTCTAAATTGTCCCTAGGTGTGAGTGAGAGAGTGAATGGTTGTTTGTCTCGTTTGTCTCCGTGTCCCTGTGATGGACTGGAGACCCGTCCAGGGTGTCCCCCGCCCCTCGCACAGTGATTGCTGGACATGGGCACCAGCGACCCCCGTGACCCAAAATGGAACAAGCGGGTAAAGAAAATGGATGGATGGATGGATGAATGTAGGAGAGATGTTGGATAAAGCTGAGGACGCACAAAAGATTGGATCAGATTTTATCTATAATTCCCCGGAGGTCAAACCTGCACACAGTCAGCACCGAAGTCTGTTGGTTTGTGAGGGGGAGACCAGGCCCGACTTGACCCGTGTCACAACTCACCAAGTCTGAACTTATGGAGCCAAATCTGGATGCAGTCTGTTCGTGTGAACTGATCACCAACTCGACTGCAAACACGTGTTGCAATCAGCTGATAAAACGAGAGAGTGGGACACAGGAAGTACGCAGACATCAGCAGCTGGAGACGGCTGTCGTCCATTTCTGTTTACCCGTTCATCGTCATCCTCACTGGAAGTTGAGTAGTGTTTCCACCAGTGTGATGGTTCGAGGAGCAGTGCCAGAAGAACAGTGATGAGACTTCTAGATTTTTGAGGGAGAACGGACTCATTTGTCTCAGCGCCAAAAAAAGTTGTTGCTTTTAGCTTTGCAAGTGTTCTGCATTAGCTATGTTTACATGAGCAAAATTCTTTGACCGGATGAAGTGTTTTCAGGTTAAATAACTCAAATGTATCGTTTACATGGACACAATCTGCTCATGACGAGCGTTTACCTGCAGCGGGCTTTGTTCTGAACAGAAGTACCGACGTGCGCAGAGTGGAAAACTTTCCTTAAAAAAAAAAACACAGAAGAAGAAGTTCTACTTCCGGTTTACTTCCGTGATGAACGTTAACAAAGCTGAGCACCAAAATGGACCCGCGACAGGTTTTAATGATGGTGGAGACGTTCCTGCACTCCCTGACTGAGCTGCAGGTGACACAGATCATTTTGAGCTCTTTCAAAGTTTCTAGTAGAAATGTTGTTGCTCACCGACCGGTTTTACTTCCCCGACATGCTAACATTATTAGCATTAGCCAGGAGGAAATGACACAGGTCGCACATGTACAGTCAGGTCAGTTTTTCACGATTGGAAAAAAAAATGAACAGATTAAGTGTTTACATGTGCACGTTCGGGTTATGAATCTACAAAAACCACCCGTTTCGGACTGTGCTGAATAAACAAAAAATAACCCGAACGGGCATTGACATGACGCGTTTTTATTCCGAACGGCCGTTTCACACAATTACTCGTCTGTTTTAAGAACATGAGGTCCATTTTAGGAAACCCGTTTAAATATTTTTTACCAGAACTGGGCTGAGTAAGTACACAAAGTATTTAATGTTTCCTGCCAACTGTAATTTAAAATCAGCTGTTTCTCTGCAACGTTGAATAAAGAAAACAATTTGTTGTAAACTTTAGCTGAAGTAAATGTTTCTGAGACCAGCTGCTTCTCGTCACACCAACAAACTGTTTGTTTGGAGAAACGTTGTTTTTTATTCAGTTTTTCTCAGGAAGTGGCTCACGTCAGTCGGCTCTTTGACCGGGTTAAACAGGAAGTTCTTTTTGTTGCGGTTGAACAGAACATGTCTGAGTCCAGCTGTGGGACATCAGGACGGAGTGTCCTCACCTGGGGACAGCTTGTCGAAGTCCACGTAGAAGCGCAGCATGAAGGAGCCGGTGACGAAGCCAAAGGCCGGGCCGATGGAGGTGACGGCGAGGAGGATTCCTGAAGACACGACAAACGTCAGAACAACACAAGCAGCTGGAGCGTTAACTTTCACTTCATTCATTTCAAGATTAACTCCTGCAGAACTTCTCCTGTGAGCAAAAAGAACAAGCAGAACTTCTCCTGT